CCAAAGAGTGACCCCAGTTCCTCTGGAAAAGCTTTCCTCATCAACCTAGATCTCAATGTGTGCTCCTTCTAAACTCCCGTAGTAGTTGTGTTTTACATTTGCTTCTGATAGTAAGCAAAATGTCTTCAATATATTCAGACAATAACAGAAGGCTCCTGGCCCAAAATGTAGGTACTAAGTGGCAGAAGAGGAGTCTGATCTCCTTGCCTTTTCCTCTTCTGTGAAGGGTAGCAGAAGCTCCATCTGGGCTGCTGACTTCTGGGTTTTGGTCTCAGCTTAAACCACTGCAATTCTAGACAAACAGGCCTGAATACAGGCTGGGGGTGGGGTTTGGGCTTGTGTGTGAGGTGTGGAGAGGCCTCTTTCCAGTAGTGGCTGATAGCACGGGGGAATTTCTCCAACTGCAGAAAACAGTAGCATCAGCAGGAACTTATGGCAAGTTCATTTACAGCCAGTCTTTATGTCCAAATTAGAATATCTCATATCCAACACACATTCTTTCTAGAAATTCCTGATTATCCAAACAATCAAAGAGAGAGGTGTTATAATGAAAATCAGCCCTTGACTTGGTGTCTGAAACTGTTTCCGTTCCTGTTTTCTTTACTTAATGCCTGTGTGGCCTTTGAGAAGTTGTTGANAAATTAGAATATCTCATATCCAACACACATTCTTTCTAGAAATTCCTGATTATCCAAACAATCAAAGAGAGAGGTGTTATAATGAAAATCAGCCCTTGAAACTGTTTCCGTTCCTGTTTTCTTAATGCCTGTGTGGCCTTTGAGAAGTTGTTGATTTTTTTTTTTTTTACTAAGTTTTAATTAAATATAGGTATCACTAAAAGTTGCCTTAAGAGTTTTGTGAAGGGTTGATAAGGCAAACAGATATTCAAATGTGTGGATAGGTGAGCACTTAATGACAATTACAAAAGATTTATTTCCAATATTGCAACATCTGTTATAACCTAGAGAAGCTGTTACCTTGGTCCTATTAATTAAACTGTGCCCTGAGTTCTCCCTTTGATACTTTGGCCCTTGGTCCAGGTAGACTTTGTTAAAGCATGCGGCCAACCTGATGTAGTAAATTGCAATAACAACCCTAATTCTTCACACCATCCTGCATCCACACCTTTCACTACGTAACTCTGCAGTTCCTCTTACTAAAAGGGCAGAATATATTTCCCTAACTCTTGTCTTTGTGTTTGACCATGTGACTTGTTTGGCCAACAGAATGAGCCAGAAGTTTCTGAGCCTAGACTGGAAAAGGCTTCACATGTTTTTGAGAGGTTAATGGTCGGTGGTGCACAGGCAGGCTAAATGGCCATTTCATACGGGTGAATAAAGAAAAATTAAATTTATTAAAAGAGAAGTTAAATTGATTAAAAATTAAATTTATTCCAGAGGGAAGGGCTACACAGCACTGAGCCAAAGGGTATTGGGTCCAGGATGGCAGCAAAACTGTACTTGGGACCGTGAAACAAAGAAGAGCATACAAGAAACAACAGGACAACCTAAGCTGGGTTGCTTTGGCTCACTGAGAAGTCAGAGAGAAGGGGCCTTGGAGACGGGTTCAAGGGGTAAGCCCTGGACGAGCTGCCGCTGCCTGTTGCTCTCCTGGTTGCAAGTCTAGTGGGGTCCCCTTGGAAGGACTGGGATGGAGATGGTGCTGGCATTCTCCCCTGGTGGGGAGCACACCCTGGGTCTTTTGTTCTGAGCTTATTTGTCTCTTTCTTGCAGGCGGGAGTGGTAGGGGAGGTCTCTAGGGAGGGTCTCAATAGAATATTCATTGGCTTTCCAGGTGTGCTCTTTCAGGGTTGTGGTCTCCACTGATTGGTTAGTGCCAGGGCAAGGGGTCATTAGTCAATTTATCTGGTCCTGAGGCAGCCACTTGTCTGGTTTGGCTGGTTTTCTGGGCTTAGAGCTGAAATACAACTGAGGCCTAGATGTTATCTTTAGGGAGGAATACTCAAGGGGTTTAAGCCGCATGACCAGGGTATGCTGGGGGAGGATAGGTTACCCTGGGGACAAAGTTTTTGTTTTCCCAGTTTTGTCCCTTGTTAGGCATCCAGGGCTTACTGCCCTGGTGAGTCTCTGTACTCAAGTTTCTGTACTGGGCCCACCTAACAGTTTTTATTTGTTCTCTTGCTTCTCTGCCACTCCCTGAGAGGAACATAGCTCAGCTATCCCACTGGTTCATGTACAGTATATCCCCAAGAAGACATGAGGGGCAGAGCTACCTCAATCAAAGGAGGAGGAGTGAAAAACAGACCGGCCTTAGGTGCTGTAGCCTGAAGCACAGCTGTTGGGCCAAGCTTAGACCAGCCAGCCCCACTGACCTACAGATGTGTGAGCAAGGCGGAGTGTTGTTTCAGATCACTTTGTCATGCGGTAGGGTTGCGGGAATGCCTAACTATTACACCTAGTAATGCAGGGAGGCGTCACCAGGGGAAGGCTGGTTGCCAAGAAAGCTCACNCACCTGGTAATGCAGGGAGGCGTCACCAGGGAAGGATGGTTGCCAAGAAAGCTCATAAAGTGGAATTTTTCTTGGTAAAATGAACTTGGTCCAGTGTCCAATCCTTAGTTTGACAAGCTCAAACTCAATCTAAGAGACTAATATATTTACACTTTGAGAAATATAATCGTCAGGTAAACCGACGTTTGCACTGGTCTGTTGAGCACATGCTCTCTCTGGGCAAAAGATTACTCACTGAGCGTTAGATGGGCCAGGTACAGAAACTAGGGTACAGAAACTCACCAGGGCAAGAAGTCCCCGATGCCTAGCAAGGGGCAAAACTGAGAAAACAAGAACCTTGTCCCCAGGGTAACCTATCTTCCCCCAGCATATCGCTGGTCAGGTGGTTTAGACGCCCTGAATGTTCCTCCCTAAAGACAGCATCTAGGCCTCAGCTGTATTTCAGCTCCAGGCCCAGAAAAGCAGCGAAACTAGACAAGTGGCACCATGGATGCCTCGTATATTGACTAATGACCAGAAAGCTGACGAATTTTCTATTGAGACACTCCCCTGAGACCTCCTCTAAGATTCCCACCTCCAAGAAAGAGATAAATATGCTCAGGATAACGGACCCAGGGCACGCTCCCCACCAGGGGAGCACACCGGTGCCATCTCCATCCCTCTGAGCGGACCCTTTGAGACTTGTAGCCAAGGGAACAATGGGCAGCTGCAGCTCATCCCATGCTTACCCCCCTGAACCTGTCTCCAAGACCCCCGTTTCTCTCTTTGACTCCTCAGTGAGCCAAAGCAGCCCAGCCTAGGCTTCCCTTTGCTTCTTCTGTGCCCTTCCTTGTCTCACTGTCCCAACTATAGTTTTGCCGCCATCCTGGACCCAATACCTTTGGCTCAGTGCTGTGTAGCCCTTGCCTTTGGATATCCCTTCCCCTTTTAATAAATTTAATTCTTCTTTATTCACTGTCTGAGATGGTTGGTTAGCCTGCCCGAGCACCACTGACCGTTACCCTTTCACTGAGCATGGAATCATCACAAAGGGAATTAATTACATGATTTGGAAGTTTAAGCTTTGATAGTCTGCTGTGTCCATCTTCACTACAGAGAGCTGTCTGTCTGGCAGACAAACACATCACCCTGTTAGGGTACCTTT